GAAGGCAGGCCGCCCACCCAGGAGGAGCCCGTGTCGTCCGTGATGGTCTGGCAGATCCCCCTGCTGGGCGTGTAGGTGACACGGCCATGCCTGGCCTCGGCTCGCCTCGGGGCTGCCCAGGGTGTGCTGGGGGCCGGTCAGACGCGGTTCTGGGGGATACGTGCAATATGGCCGCAGGGGCTCTGCGGGGCTCCCCGCTCCTCCTCTGCACACACAGCTCAGTGCAGGGGCCTGGAAGAAGGCGGAGGCCTGCGTGGCCGCTGCGCCCTGGGAACAGACCACGCCCCTCGGAGCCGCTGTGGCCGTCCGGGAGTCCTGTTCCTGTGTCATGTGACCTGGAGGGCCTGCGAGGCAGCGAATTCCGTAGCATAGGAATCGGTTCACAGTTTCTAAAACAATTGTATCAGCTTCAGGTTCGCTACTGGTATTTATATTCCATAGTTTAAATTACAGAGCTGAACCTGTAACAATTGTAAAAGGCCGGAAACTCGCACGATTTGCTGTGGGAAGGGAGCTTGGTTTCCCAAAGTGATAAACTGTGTCTGCTGTAAATGTTAACAAGTAGCATTTTTAAATCGCATTTTTCTATTAAGAAGTTAACAGTTCATGTTTTAGCCAGTATCTTTCTCTTAAAGAACGTTGGCTCTAACCAAAACTCGTGCTGTGGACGCCGGGTGAGGCGTGCGCCCAGGGCGGGGCTGCCTGGACTGAGCCCCTCTGGAAACACGCAGGTGGCCGCGTGGCGGGCAGCAGGCAGTGACGGTGCCCGGTGCCCGGTGCTCAGTGCTCCTGCGCCTGCTGATGCGGGCAGCCCTCGTGCCGGCCGCTGCCCTCCCTGCCCACGCCGTGGCCCGCCCACAGTTCCAGGGCAAGGTTGTGCTTCCTGCGGGGAGAGCAGGCGACGCCTGGCACAGGCATTCCAGAAAGAAAGGACGCAGCACTTTGGAGACCAAACCGCTAATGCTGTGACTTCGCCGAGCGTGGGCTAAGCCGCGTGCCCGCCCCGTGTGAGCGACAGCCTCCCGAGCTCCCGTGGACTCCTAGCCGCTGCCGTAGCTCACAAATAAAGCCTTTGTATTGAAAATACAGCGGTGAGCTGCCTTTTTCCCCACCACACGCCCAGGGCCACCGCAGCCTGCCGGGGAGCGGGGCACCTGGCCGGCCCCTTCAGAGGCCACGGCGCCACTTTGTGACACGGGGACACCCCCGGGTGTCCAGAGTCCTCTGAGAGACTGCTGAGTGAGCGCCAGATGAAATCCTGGGACTGCAGGGTTTCGCGGGACCCGGGCTGACTGCTCATCTGCGGAGATGGGGGAGACGCCGGGTTAGCTGAGAACGGAAGCCCGGTGGGCAGCCATGTTCCCACACGGTGGATCATGCCGGGGTGGGCAGAGTGGGACCCACGTGCTGGCCATCCCTCTCACAGCCACCTTGGGGAGCCAGGACAACCAGAGGGGCCAGCCTGGAGGTGGCATCCAGCAGGGACTCCTGCTGTGGAATGGACAGTCTGTGCGCTGGATCATGGACAACCCGTATTGACCACAGCTCGGTGCCGGCCCAGGGTAGGACAGAGGCCGAGAGCTGGCCTTGGATGGAAACTTCACACGCTGTACCCTACGTGGAGCCCTGGGCTCTCCCGCGTGGTGGCTAACCAACCACAGGAGGGCAGACACCCAGCACGCTGGTGAGGGGACTGATGGGCCCATGTCCCCCACACTCACACACATTAGTACACACAACATTAATACACACATACTTATACAGACTCAGACACACACACTTACAGACTCATATACACATTAGTACATACAATATATGTACACAGACTCATACATACACATTAGTACACGCATTCACACACACATACACACTCATACACACTCATACTCTCACACTCACAAGTACATACACCCTCATACACACATACACATTAATATACACATACACATACAACACTTACACAGACACACACATATATACATACTTCACACACTCATGCACATACATTAATACACGTGCCCACACACACACATACACATACACATACACACATTTACTCACATGCATATACACACATTAATACCCACATACATACAGTCACCTATACACACTCATACATAAATACACATACACAACATACACTCACACCTATGCACACCCATGCACACATATGCACATACACTCATAGACTCACACATACACACATGTACATAAACACACACTCAGACACACTTATGCACATATACGTACACGTACACACACATACATGCACATCCACACACGCACATCCACACACACACCCCTCCTTCCCAGGGCCCCACGGAGCCTGTGCTGCCTGTGGGCCTGCAGTGGGTGGCACCTGTGCCTGCCTTGGGCGAGACGGCCCTAGTGCTGGGCGCCCAGCTGGGAGTCCCCTGTCCTCTCCTGGAAGAGGGGGTCCTCGCCCCGGCCACTCCTGGGGGGCCGCGCCCCTGCCCTGGGGGATCTCCCTCAAGGCTGCAGGGCAGGTGGCGGCTGCACTGTGTGGGCAGATGGGCACAGCGTGACTCTGGGAGGGCAGGCGGGAGTCTTGCCAAGGGTGACTCAGCCCGGGCTGCTAGAAGCTGCTCCTCGCCCTGGCTGCAGCGCCTTCCGGGCAGCCAGCAGGACCCCGGGGTGTGGGCCAGCAGCCGTCCTTCCTGGAGTTTACCACAGTGAGGTCGCCGGGGTGGAGGTCGCAGAGGTGGGGGGGGCTGGGACCGGGACCCTCTGGAGGGCCCTGGCGCGGCCAGGATGGCACAGCTGCCCTCCGCGGCACCCAGCCCGGGCACAGCACACACCCACAGGAGGCTGCAGCCCAGGCCAGGGTCGGGGCTGGGTCCTCTGACTCGGCGGTCGCCGTCCAGGGCCCAGGGTCCTGCGTCCCGTGGCTCATGTACTCCCAGCTGCCTCTGCTTGGAATCCAGATGACGTCTGGGAGAGGGAGCTGGAGTGGCTGCTTGGCGTCCCCACACTGAGACCAGGAGGCGCCCGGGGAATCGCTGGTGAGTGTCGGGGTGCAGGGCACCAGGCCTGAGCCGCAGAGGGGCTGCGGGGTCTGTGGCTGCTGGCCTGCTCCTGCCTGGTCTCCTTGGCCACAGCCTCTGGACACAGCCCCTCGGGGGCGGGGGGCTGGCGGGAGAGGGTGGCACCAGGGAGCCAGGACCTCTCAGGAGCGCGCGGGAAGTGGGAAGGCAGACTCCCAGGGCCAGCGCTGGGGACAGGGGACAGGGCCCCTCCCGGCAGGGAAAGGGGACAGATGGTGCGGGGCTCCTGTCCGCTGAGGGAGGGGCGCTGCTGGGCCCAGTCCCAATTTCCATTGAGCTTTGGTGCAGCAGGGGCTCCCGCTCTGTCTGTAATCCTCCTGTTCAGGGAGGGGTCTCGGCACGGCGGGCCGCCCCACCCCAGCCAGGAGATGTCTGGCACGGTCTGGGGACGTTGTTGGCTGCCAGTGGGCCGGGAGCCGCTGGGCGGGTGGGAGGTGAGCAGGGGCAGCCGAGGCCAGAGCCTGGGTCCAGCTGGTGCGTGTGGGAGGGTCCATGTTTGTTTTCTTCTGTGGAGAACCGCTGACTGCTGTCTTCGGTGTCGTGAGCACACGGGATCCCTGTGCCATTCCTGAACGCACGGGTCTCAGCGGCCTCCTTTCAGCGCGGCTGTTCCGGTTTCGGTGGTGAAATGCAGGCTCCGGGGCCCACACGGGAGCACCGGTGTAGTCACCCTGTTCTCAGGCAGCCAGCCGCGCTGTGACGTCACACCCAGGGGCGTGGGTTCTCCGTGCCAACACACAGAGAGAAGGGCTCCCTGTCAGTACACACTGAATGGACGCTATTTGCGGCAACCCAGCATATGCGTGTCCAGATTTTCACGCCGAACGCCTCGCTGCAGGCTGTTGGCGTGGTGGGCGTCCCACCGTCGGAGCCTCCAGCTCTCCGGCCCAGCCTCTGCGGGCCCGGGGCTGCTCGACAGGGCGGCCGCAGGGTGAGGCAGAACCGGCCCCAGCACCTACGCCTGTTTGCCTCTGAGTGTTCCCTCCACGGAGCTCTTGAGAGACACACGCAGGGCACTGAACAAGTGTGGAACCCCAGACCCCCGCTCTGGACTTGGGGTGACATGGGCCACGCACGCCGCCTCCCTAAGCCGCAGGGCTGCCGTCTGGTAGCAGCAGGTGAACAAGGCTGGCAGAGGACGTGGATGAGGTGGCTGGTGGAGGGGCCTGGACACCGTGCCCGGCACACAGCTCCTGTTAGGAACCGGCAGCTGGGACTTCCGGGGACTGCACAGCCACGACTGCTCTAGGTGTGCCCGGATTCCCAGTAACGGGCCCATGCTCTCAACACGTGTGTCCTGCCCACCTGCCCGGGGCCACAGAGCACAGCCAGGCGGCAGGGCCTCTTCCCCAAGGCCCTGACCCACCGCTGTGCTCCGTCTTCTCCCACACGCACCCCCCCCCAATTTTCATTTTTATAGATTGATTGATTTATTTGAAAGGCAAAGGCACAGCAACAGAGAGAGAGAGAGAGAGAGACAGACAGAGATCTTCCATCTCCTGGTTCATTCCCCAAATGGCCACAATAGCCAGGACCAGGCGGAAGCCGGGAGCCAGGAGCCCCATCCTGGCCTCCCACGAGGGTAGCAAGGTTCCAAGCGCTTGGGCCATCATCTGGTGCTTCCCAGTCATGGTGGCAGGGGGCTGGATGGGGAGCAGAGCAGCCGGGACTGGAACCAGCCCTCCTGCATGGGATGTGTGTGCTGTAAGCAGCGGTCTAACCCCCTCCCCAGGATGGGCGGAACGATAGCCCCAAGGGGTGGGTGTCCCCATTCCTGGTCGCTGGGACCTCCCCAGCCCCAGAGGGGGTGTGAGGCCTCGGGCTCTGAATGCAAGTGAGGCAGGGGGTCAGGCAGGAGGCTGTGCAGACAGAGGCGAGAGCCAGGACCAGCGTGCAACATTCGTTCAAAGCCAGCGTCGCATGTGTGCTTGTCAGGATGGCCATCGGCCATGGGGGGCTGGCGCGTGCTGCAGGTGAAACGTGCCACAGGGGAGCCCGCCCAGGAGCACTGGGCCCCCCAAGCGGCAGGGCGCGGGACGCCCCAGGCCAGCAGCTCTGCCTGTGGCAGTGCAGTGCCCACTCCCAGCCCCCGGGGGCCCAGGCAGCCTGGTCCTCCAGCGAGGGGCCAGGGTGAGGGAGGTGACTGCAGGGGTGGACACAGGCACTGCCCGGCTGGTCTCTGTCCCCACCTCGTCTGTGATGTGCAGCCCACAGGACTGGGGGCCGTGGATCCCACCCAAGCCTGCCCACCAGCTCCTGCGCCCTGCCAGGCCCTGCCGGGGCAGTGGCACCCCAGGACTCAACGGGGACGAGCAGCAGGTGCTGAAACACCGGCCTGAGTGGCTGCGTCCTCCAGGCCCATGAGGCTGTGATGGGGGGTCCTGACCCCAGGCTCCTGGGCTGGAGGCCCCGCTACAGCTCAGGTGTGCAGAAGCCTGGCTGATCCTTGCAGGGGCGGGGCTGGGGGGCTTAGTGCGGGGGTGGTGAGGAGCCCTGGAGCAGAGTTCACAAAATGCCCAGTGGACTTTTTGTGCCCAGCCCAGGGGAGAGCACGGATGAGCGGCTGGGGGCTGAGTCCCTGTCGTCTTCCCTAGGGCGTCAGGTGGGGACCACCGTGCAGCTGCAAACTCAGCTGCCTGCCAGCACTGTGCCAGAGGCGGCTCCCTGCACAGGAGGCACCTGGGTGGGCACTAGAGGGGCCAGCCGGCTTGCAGACACGCACCTGCACTGTTGAGGGACAGACAGAAGCCGGCAGTGGCAGCAGACCCTGTGCCTGCAGTGGGGGGCCGTGTGTCTGTAGTGGGGGCTGTGTGCCTGCAATGGGGGGCTGTGTGCCTGCAATGGAGGGGGGCGTATGTCTGCAGTGGGGCCGTGTGCCTGCAGTGGGGGGCCGTGTGCCTGCAGTGGGGGGCCATGTGTCTGCAGTGGGGGGGCCATGTGCCTGCAGTGGGGGGCCGTCTGCCTGCAATGGGGGGCCCGTGTATCTGCAGTGGGGCCGTGTGCCTGCAGTGGGGGGGCCGTGTGCCTGCAGTGGGGTGACCCTGTGCCTGCAGTGGGGGGCCGTGTGCCTGCAGTGGGAGGCTGTGTGCCTGCAGTGGGGTGACCCTGTGCCTGCAGTGGGGGGCCGTGTGCCTGCAGTGGGAGGCTGTGTGCCTGCAGTGGGGTGACCCTGTGCCTGCAGTGGGGGGCCGTGTGCCTGCAGTGGGAGGCTGTGTGCCTGCAGTGGGGGGCTGTGTGCCTGCAGTGGGGCCGTGTGCCTGCAGTGGGGGACCCTGTGCCTGCAGTGGGGGGCTGTGTGCCTGCAGTGGGGCCGTGTGCCTGCAGTGGGGGACCCTGTGCCTGCAGTGGGGCCGTGTGCCTGCAGTGGGGGGGCCGTGTGTCTGTAGTTGGGGACACACACCCGTGCTGGGATGGGGTGAAGTGGTCAGAGGAGCCCCTCCCAGGCAGCACAGGTGTGGGGGCTGCGAGGTATGTGTGTGCGTTTGGAGCAGAGGGTGGTGGCTACAGAGTCCTGGGGTGCTTGGGGCGGTGGGGGCTGGGAGACGCTCCCTGGGAAGAGGGGGCCCTCAGAAGCCAAGCCCAGCTGTGTGTGAGCTGTGAGCAGTTAGGCCCGGGCTGTGTGTGAGCTGTGAGCAGTTAGGCCCGGGCTGTGTGAGGTGTGAGCCCGGGGCAGAAGCAGGCCCCCGCTGGCTCAGGTGGGAGCAGCAAGAGTCGCGGGGGGGGGGGGGGGGGGCAAGCAGGGAACAGGAGGGCAGCTCCGCCCTGCTCTGAGCGGGCAGGATCAGGCGGCTCCAGGCTCGGGCTGGAGGGAGACCAGGCCTTGGGCGGCCCTGCTCTGCTCACCCCTCCCCTCCTGGGCCTCCCGCTAGAGAACCAGCAACCTGGGGCAGCAAGGGAGGAAGTGGCCGGGTGCCTCACGGAGCCCACGCTGCCCACTTCCCTGTCGCTGGAGCCGAGGCCGGGGGAACTGGGCCACCTCCTTAGCACAGGGTCGGAGCGGGCGGGGTTCTGCAGGGACGGCGGGGCAGCGGGGCAGCGGGGCAGCGGCAGTGCTGTTGAGCCCGGCCCTGCAGCGTGGCATGGGTCCCGGACAGCAGCAGGGAGATGAGGCCACTGCTCAGGGTCCCGGGTCTGTTGGCAGGCAGTTTGATTTCCACTTACATGGCCAGAAGTAGTTACGAGACCATTTTCAAATATTTACACTCATGAAAACTTAGTTTTTTTTCTTTTTTTTTTTTTTTTTAAGTGTGTTGCCTAATTCCGCAGGAGGCAGTGTGGAGGGAAGTCCCAGCTGTGCCCGCCCGGCCCTGAGATCTCTTGGGGCCACACCAGGCCTTGTGCCTCCTCTGAGCATGCTATAGGCCTCGGTCCCTTCAGGACAAAGCCGCCATGGGTCCCTGCCCAGAGGGCGATGTTGGGAGCTGGCCACTAGCTGACTGCCCCGGCTACAGCTGGGCCGCCTGCTCTGCGTGGGCTCCACCGCCACCTGGGCTCAGCCGAGTCTGGGTCCGGATCTCCATTTCCCGTGAGGACCCGGGTCCCCGGGGATTAGGGCTGCCCCCACAGCCCCTCTGCAGAGGTGGACGGCAGGGACCGCAGGCTCCCTTGCTACAGGGACGCGATCCCGCCCACGGCACCCTCACGGTGAGGTCCGCAGGAATGTGCCCTGATGAAGGATTGGTTGCTTTTCTGCCTCTGGGGGTTCGCCGTTCAGACCTGCGCTAAGTACTCGGCCCGGGGAAGTCGGCCCCGCCGTTGCTGTGTTGCGTCCGGGAGATCAGTGTCTTCGCAGACCAGGCTTGTGTTTGGATGTGTCCCGTCCGCCTGGCGCTGCATGGTGCAGAACAGTCCACGCGGCTGCCAGGTGCCCTGGCTCTGAGGGGCTCCCTCCCTCCTGGTGTTCCACTCCTGCCTCTGTCACCCACTGGAGCCCAGGCGCGCGGGGGCACCCAACCCCA